AGAATTTGGTCCAGTTCACTAGGCTAGTGATACAGAGTAATGACTCTGACAAACGTCAGACCAGCTTTAACCCACAAGTCTTCATTATAAGAGCATTGTGTGTGTGTGTGTGTGTGTGTGTGTGTGTGTGTGTGTGTGTGTGTGTGTGTGTGTGTGTGTGTGTGTGTGTGTGTGTGGTGGTGGTGGGGGGGGGGGGGGGGGTTCCTGCTTCAGAGTAGCGATGAGGGTGCCATGGGGTAATCTCGCCTAGGACACCAAACTGAGTTGGGCCGGCCCTGCACAAAACAACCTGTCTTCAGCTTCTGGCGTGCTTTATGAGCCCACGAAACTGTCGTGAGCGTTCAGGGACTGTCTGCAAATATAAACAACAGAAACTGCAAACGATGATAATAATAATAAAAAAAACTCTTGTGTGCTGTAGTGTCACCAGATTCACAAAAGATATCTGCACATATGCTGTGCTATTTACCTCACTCCCACTTCATGTTTGAAAAATGCAACAAATGCTGTTGCCTGACAGACCAAGAGGGCAGAGCTGCTAACAAATACACACACAGGATCACAAAAACATTGTGACATCATAATGTACCAGCCAGCATCACAGTGTACCTCTTAGCCAATAGCGAAGGCAGATTTAAATTTAAATGCAGTGCAGAGTTTTTACCCGGCGACGGCACACACACTGACAGTTTTAGGCAGAATATTTAAGTTTTAACCAAGATGCACTTAAGTGCCAAATTATTGACTACACTTGTCTAAAGCGCAATTAGACACTCTTTGGGGGTGACTTGCTCTTTAATAGACAGTGCTAAGAAGGTACATTGATGTGCCCTTGTTCTTTTAATACAACTTGTTTTACTCGTTACACTTTTCTTCTCTTTGTGGCACCCCCTGGATGGCTGGTGCCCATAGCATTTGCCTATATTGCCTATAGGACGGGCCGGCCCTGGCTTTCCTGGCATCAAAATTTGTCTTTAAATTTCACAGAAATCTTGTGACATTCATGTCACATACAGGTCTTTCTCAAAAAATTAGCATATTGTGATAAAGTTCATTATTTCCTGTAATGTACTGATAAACATTAGACTTTCATACATATTAGATTCATTACACACAATTGAAGTAGTTCAAGCCTTTTATTGATTCTAATATTGATGATTTTGGCATACAGCTCACGAAAACCCAAAATTCCTATCTCAATAAATTGGCATCTTTCATCCGACCAATAAAAGAAAAGTGTTTTTAATACAAAAAAAGTCAACCTTCAAATAATTATGTTCAGTTATGCACTCAATACTTGGTCGGGAATCCTTTTGCAGAAATGACTGCTTCAATGCGGCGTGGCATGGAGGCAATCAGCCTGTGGCACTGCTGAGGTGTTATGGAGGCCCAGGATGCTTCGATAGCAGCCTTAAGCTCATCCAGAGTGTTGGGTCTTGCGTCTCTGAACTTCCTCTTCACAATATCCCACAGATTCATTCTCTATGGGGTTCAGGTCAGGAGAGTTGGCAGGCCAGTTGAGCACAGTAATACCATGGTCAGTGAACCATTTACCAGTGGTTTTGGCACTGTGAGCAGGTGCCAGGTCGTGCTGAAAAATGAAATCTTCATCTCCGTAAAGCTTTTCAACAGATGGAAGCATGAAGTGCTCCAAAATCTCCTGATAGCTACCTGCATTGACCCTGCCCTTGATAAAGCACAGTGGACCAACACCAGCAGCTGACATGACACCCCAGACCATCACTGACTGTGGGTACTTGACACTGGACTTCAGGCATTTTGCCATTTCCCTCTGCCCGGTCCTCCTCCAGATTCTGGCACCTTGATTTCCGAATGACATGCAACATTTGATTTAATCAGAAAATAGTACTTTGGACCACTGAGCAACAGTCCAGTGCTGCTTCTCTGTAGCCCAGGTCAGGCGCTTCTGCCGCTGTTTCTGGGTGGCTTGACCTGGGGAATGCGGCACCTGTAGCCCATTTCCTGCACACGCCTGTACACGGTGGCTCTGGATGTTTCTACTCCAGACTCAGTCCACTGCTTCCGCAGGTCCCCCAGGGTCTGGAATCGGTCCCTCTCCACAATCTTCCTCAGGGTCCGGTCACCTCTTCTCGTTGTACAGCGTTTTCTGTCACACGTTTTCCTTCCCACAGACTTCCCACTGAGGTGCCTTGATACAGCACTCTGGGAACAGCCTATTTGTTCAGAAATGTCTTTCTGTGTCTTACCCTCTTGCTTGAGGGTGTCAATGATGGCCTTCTGGGCAGCAGTCAGGTCGGCAGACTTACCCATGATTGCAGTTTTGAGTAATGAACCAGTAAAAAACCTCAGGAATCTTTTGCAGGTGTTTAGAGTTAATTAGTTGAATCCGATGATTAGGTTAATAGCTCATTTAGAGAACCTTTTCCTGATATGCTCATTTTTTGGGACAGGAATTTTGGGTTTTCATGAGCTGTATGCCAAAATCATTAATATTAGAAACAATAAAAGGCTTGAACTACTTCAGTTGTGTGTAATGAATCTAATATATATGAAAGTCTAATGTTCATCAGTACATTAGACAATAATGAACTTTATCACAATATGCATTTTTTTAATAGGACCTGTATAGCTGCCCCACTGATTCTTGTGTTAATTTTTTCTTTGTTCCAGAGAGCCATGATCTAGAAGTAGATGGGTGTGACTTAGGCACCCTATAGCAGCCTGATCAGGGATGGGTGGGCAAGCTCCAACTTGTTTTCTTAAAGAGCAATTCACCCTAGGTGGAGTCTTACTTCATTCACACTTCCTGTTTAAAAAATACACCTAAAGGAGGTGCCACCTGGCGGACAGAGAGAACTGCACTGAGGCAGCTATTGACAGTACACTCCAGCGCTAGCATATTAGCTATAGCCACTTCATTGTTGACTAACAGAGTTCCTGGTAAAGAAATATAAAGATACTGAAAGGAAGAATCATGTGACCACAGGGAAAGGCTGTAGCATGTCAGGAACCCCAAAGCGGTTTCAGAGAGTTTGGTTTTTCAGAATGTAATACAGTCAGGCATGTTACTCTACACGTTGCTAGCTGACAGGACTGTGGCAGGGAGCCCCGGTTGGTGACGCCAACTGACTGGCAGCAGCTGGGGTCTGCGCAGCATGCTAACAATTCTGTGAGGATAAAAGGAACTTCGTTAGAGATGAGAAAGCATCAATGACTGAGCGTTTGCCAGGTAAGAGAGCTTTTGTGGGTCTTAAAGGGCGAGTGCACAATTGGTGATGGAACGGGACGTGATCACTGCCACCTGACAAACATAAAGAAATGCACAAACAAGACATATTAAAGTTAATATTATAGGCGCAACAGGATGTTCATTAGGTCTGCATTCAATTTGAATCCTCATTTGCATCCTCCGGATCGAAAGGAACCAGTTGAGGTGGTTTCGGCATCTGGTCAGGATGCCTCCTGGACGCCTCCCCGTGGGAGGTGTTTCGGGCATGTCCTGCCGGCAGGAGGCCCCCGGGTCGACCCAGGACATGTTGAAGAGGTTACATCTCCAACCTGGTCCGGGAACGCCTTGGGGTCCTGCCGGAGGAGCTGGTAGAGAAGGCCGGGGCTACAAGGGGCGGAGGGGCTGAGTGACTTATTAACTCTGCAAAGGATTATTTTAGAACATACTGGCTCAAGAAAATTATTTTAAAATATAAAAGTTACATAGTTTCATTTAAAAGTGAAACAGCTCATTCTGGAAAGTACTGAAACAGTCGAGAATAAAACTGCTGAAATCGATTAATATGAGTGATTTTACACAAATGAACATGTTTTGTGTAGACCATAGAACTGCTATAACTTAGTCTCATATGTCCCCTTTAAAATGCAGGGTTTTAATGAGCAGGTATCATCTAAATGATAAAACTATTTGGAGTCAAAACAATTATGATCATATTTGACATAAATATACATCCTCTGCTTAAGATATTTAAACAAATCTTGATTTCACTAAAATCATATTTAAAAATTGAATAATACTGGGCAGGGGCGGATCTACAAGGGTGGCATAGGGTGGCAGTTGCCACCCTAAAAGAAAGCCTTGCTACCCCTGCCACCCCAGCTGGGAGCTATAAATTCAAGAAAAATCTAAGTTTTTCAACTCTCAGGCTCATAAAGACCTATTTGCAGTCTGCTTTGACAGAGAAAAGCTAGGCTGTACTCAGCATTGAGTCAAAACAGGCAAAATCTTTGGATCTTGATGCATGTGTAAATTGTTTTGCTGAACAACATGGAAAATGCCGCATTCAGCTGTTGTAGGAAGGACATAATTTTATGTGTTTTATTTTTGTGATGGGCCTTTAAGCTTATTAAATGAGGACCCAAAACAAATACGAATATGTAAATACTGGGAAAAGAAAAAGGAAAACATGTTTCTGAGTGAACAATAAAACCAAAGTACAATATAATGTTGCAGTGAAATATTTCTTATATATATATATATATATATATATATATATATATATATATATGTGTGTGTGTGTGTGTATGTATTGCCACCCTAGAAAAATGTTTGCCCCTCTTCTGCCACCCCATAAATAATTTAGTAGATCCACCCATGATACTGGGATGTTTGTTTCAGCCAAGACTTTAGTTTGTTTACATTCCTCTAGTTTGTTTATGCTTGGCAGATTGCAAAAAGGCAGAAATGTATAACAATTTCTGCACACAGTGATTTTAAAGGCAAACTTACGAGAATTCATATTTGGTAAATTAAACATGGCCTTAATACACATAAAGGTTCTGATTAATTTTAAGTCTACACATTTCTGATCAGGCTGTCTTACCGTTTTTGCTCCAGTTGTATGGATTGTGTTTAAGCATGAGCTGTGAATGTCATGCAGTTACTGTTCTTTAATAAAAATGAGCCACCCACCATCACCCACACTTCAACTATTTTCTAAACTGGTTATCCTGTTTTTTTAAATAACCGAATAATGGATTGTAGCCTTTATTTTTCCGTTTCTCCACAGGCAAATATTCAGAATCTCCAGATCTTATTTCAGCATGTTGCTGCTGGATGAGCGTGGAATGGACAGAGAGCGCTTCATTGTCCCTGTGTCCACCGAAGAGCTCTTCTCCTACATAGACAGCTTCCTGCTGGATGAGGATGAACGGGAGAGGCTTGAGCTCAACAGAGACTTCTGTGACTAAAATAAAATGGTTGTCGTAGCAATAAACTCACTATAACCAAAACGAGATGTAGATTGACAAGAGGGAAGAAAACTGCAGTTCCTCCTGTTTCAGATCACAACACTGAAGTGCTGGCATTGTTTACTCAACTGAGAAGCATGGAAGCAGAAGTTGTTTTAAACTAAACAAATTCCTGGTCACAATACAGCAGCGGGTTTTATTAGAACAAAGAATGAGATTGTAATAAATGCTCATTAACAGTTCAGTTATCTTTTCAGTCTTAATGTTAAATCCCACGGAGCTGAGGATATCATAATTACCTGGAACACGAAGGAAATTGGAGACAAGCATTTACTGAGTTAACTTTTATTAAGTGAACAGGATATTCAAGGCAACCTTAAGATAAATGTGACTGACCTCACTATGGAATGAGTTTAACATTAAAACATAAAAACAATTCTGGTTTTATTTATTTTAAACATGTTGTGCAAATGGAATAACCATCAAAGCACAAAGGTTTGGATTCAGTTAAGCATAACTGTTAAACCCAGCATTTATCTGCAATATCAGTTAACATATAATTTTTAGTTAGTGTTATTTTGTACACAAATGCAAAAACCAGAGTGACAAAATGAAGACACTTCTGAGCTAAGTGCTATGCATTTCTAATGGTAATAACAGCCTGAATTTCAAAAGCAAAGTGACGTAGTGTTGTAACGCTTTGGCACATTTCCAACAGCAAGTCTGCAGGAAGTGAACAGAACCAGACCTCTACATGGTGTGAGCAGAGGAAGAGCTGAGGGAGAAATGGTTTCAGGTTAAAGATGTTTACAGAACAAAATTAATGCATAGACTCGTGTTTGTCTGTAAAGCCAGAGCTCATCTGTGTTACTTCCTAGGCTTCGGTCCTCTGCTGTCCTTCATTTATTCTTAGTTTTTCCCATTGTGGAACGCAGTGTAAGAGTGCCCTCTGCCCACGAGTCAGGGTACTGCATCATCATCTGCCACAGGCTGACCTCCTCTCCAGCAGAATCCAGCACCACTTCCTCTTTTTCTACTTTTATAATGCCTACCGAGATGAAGAGCAAACAAAGAGCAGTTTTAGTACCAGTATAATTAACGGTGGAACGTTTAACTAATTTTCACATAAAGGACATTAAAAACACAAAAACCTTTTTATTACGGCAACATTCATCCAAACATCATTTATGCACTGTTCAAATTCTGATACTTTACAATAAACATACTTAAACATGCGTCATCCTCAAACAATAATTAGATGCACCATCACTCAGACATGATAGCCACTGATTCTTCATGTGTGATAATCCCAGTCTGATCGTTACAGGGACTTTACGGAGTTTAGAATTTTTATGCTCGCCCTCAGGCCAAAAGTGTAACGGCAACTTCAATAGCAGGCTCGTGCACGAGTAGCGCATGCTGTATGTGCACACTCCTCAACGAAAATAACAGCTGAGACAGTCCCGTGTGTGTGTGTGTGTGTGTGTGTGTGTGTGTGTGTGTGTGTGTGTGTGTGTGTGTGTGTGTGTGTGTGGCCTGGAGGACAGAGGACAGGAGAACACGCAGCTAATTAATTAAATAATTTGGTTCTGTACCTTTCTCTTCAGCACAGCCGACAAAGGTTTATGATGGGTCAGTCTCCCTGCATGCTCAGATCATTCCCTTCCCTTGCTTGAAAAATTGTTCCAAAATGAAAGTTGAACCCACATCTTTTTTCGGCGAGTCTCAAATAAAAAATTTGGGCATCTTACTGTAAAAAAAACTATACCATTAATGTAAAAAATAAACTCTAAATAAACTATATTCACATCCAGAATCAAACCCGGGACTTCTGCACGAGAGTCCAACGTCTAACTAGGTGAGCTAAAGCACCAGTAACATCTTTTGTATCTGTAATATTTATATCCTTGATGACAGCTGAAACAAGTTCAAATAACAGTTCAGAGCGAAAATGGCTATTTTGTTGCTAATTTGCAGGAAATATCTAGAAGAAAGTAGCTAAGGGTCCTCAGAAATGTAGCTAGGTTAATCACTAGGCGTTAGGAACAGCGACAAAGTCGCTGAGTTGGCACTACCTCACTCTCTCAGGTTGAGTGGGTTGTCCAGTAATCGGAAGGTTGCAGGTTCGATCCCGGCTCCGGACAGAGAATTCTGATGTTGTGTCCTTGGGCAAGACACTTGACCCACCTTGCCTGCTGATGGTGGTCAGAGGGACCGGTGGCGCCTGTGCTCGGCAGCCTCGCCTCTGTCAGTGCGCCCCAGGGCAGCTGTGGCTACATCGTAGCTCATCACCATCAGTGTGTGAATGTGTGTGTGAATGGATGAATGATACACTGTAGTGTAAAGTGCTTTGGAGTTCTTACTCTGAGAGGCGCTATACAAGTGCGGGTCATTTGTCATTTATCATTTAAAGCTACTGATAACAAATGCTACGGGCTATGCCTGAGCGTGAACGTGCATGAAGCAGCCTGCTCGACCCGGGCAGCTCTCTTTTTCTGTGATTTTACAGAAAAACAGGCAATCACAGTAAAAATGCCATGGCTCATTCTACAGGACCAGGGCATTGCAGGAGAATGTATGAAGAAGAAATTTATTATTTCTATACATGTTTTGGCTGTCAAACTTCCATAATGCCCCTTTAAGATTTAGAGAAAATGAAAGTTTGAACTTTTCCAACTTGATTTAAAACAATAGCCAGGGGTACATAGACAGTTTCCAATGTTTGAAATGAATGATTCTCTCCTATTGCATCAGAAATTGTATATCAGAGGAGCAAACATCTGGATCTGACCTTTTCCTGAGCTGAGACGGACTCCTCCCAGGAATTCATTGCTCAGCATGGCCTCTCTGTCCCACACAGTCAACTCCAGACACATCTCCTTCAGCTGCTCCAGAGTCAGCTCTTTATACACAAATGTGCTGTTATACTGGGGATTCAGGCTCTTCTTCACCACTGCAGACTTCTTCTTTGTAGTCTTGGACTTTGTTGGGAACAAATATCTGCAGAGCCAGAGACTCCAGGTTAATTTAAACATGGACACACTGAGGTTTTCAGAGGCGATGGGTCATCACCAACCCTTTAACAAAGCTGTCTGATGTGCTTCCTTTGATTGCTGTCAAATTCTTTGCCTCCTTAATTAGGACATGCAGCTCACCGCCTTCCTCAGTTGAAGATTTCTTGCCTGAAGAGAAAATAAAAACTTGAAGATTAGAGGCAACGAATGTCCAGCAAACGGTTTTATATGCTTTTGTTTTACCTTTGACTTTCTCCGTTGTCTTTTTATGCGTGACATACTTGAGTGAAATCACTAGCTCTCCCTTGTACTGAGCAAAAGCTGAAGGTTGCACAACAGAAGCTGCCTGTTGAATAAAATCGATCATATTTAGGACTCAGGGAACCTGAAAACAGTAAACAAGCCTCTCTACTAAAACTGATCAATACTGGACAGCTGAAGCAGATACAGGACCGACTATTTATAAACTAGCTAAAAGCACTGGACATGGACAAAGTTATCGACCCAGGTTTAACTAGATTTAGCTGTTACCTTTACACTAAGCCTATGTTCAGCAAAAGTACCAACATGTACTCATAGTACATCAGTAAAAACAGATCTGGAATTCAGATGAAGCTTGTTTCCTTTTGTTCACAGAAGCAGCCACACAGTTTAATTCCAAAAAAATTCACATCATATTTGATGTTTCAAATTAATAATTGCAAGTGGCTTGCAGACATTTAAATCGGCTTTAAAAAGTTTAAATGCTGTTTACATTTATAAAATATAGAATGCTCTCATACTGAACTGAATTGATAGAAACCTTAAATTGACCTACAGCAGGTTTCAGATAAACGTATAACATGAAACTAATAATTGTAAATTAAGTGATTCAGCTCTGATGGCCGGCTACAGGTGCGTGTTCACAAACAAGAGGTATTGCTTCATAATCACGGGAGTAGGGAGAGGGGCTTAAGGTGCAGTACATTTTTCTCGCCTCTAGATGGTGCCCTCTGAGAAAACCTCCAAATTGCTGCTTTAAAGTACAGCTAACCTACAAACACACTCCGCTTTCATCTTGATGCCTTTTCAATGAACTAGATATACAAACACAATGGAAACAAAAATGAATTATCCTTAAAGACCCACTCTAATCTTTTTTAGCTGTTTTAAAATAGTTCTCAGTGGTCTTTAAACTATGATTATACTGTTTTTAGCCATAATTACAAACCTGTGCCATTTTCTAGTAGTTAGTTTCTATATAGTGGCAGTAGCTCATTGATGATTTGCCTCTGGGTTGTGGGCGGAGCCGAGGACAGGGACACTCTAGTAAGACCCCCGACTTACACGCAGAGGACATGGGTTCATTTCCAGGCTGGGCCAGATTTCTTTAAATTAGTTTAGAAAGTTGGACCAGCTCGCTTGGACACAAGCCAGTCAGAGAGGAACAAAGCAGTGCGCCATGCTGCAGGTGGGCGAGAGAATCGGACAGGTGGAGGGAAGGAGGAGCTCAGAGCAGCAGACAGAGCAGGTGGATTCCTTCTAAGCAACAATCTGGACCACTGAGATCATCATCAGCAAATGTGTTTGTTCATTCTGAGTAAAAAGTAGACCATTATTTTTTGTTGCTTAAAAGTCATCCACCTGCTCTGACTGCCGCTCTGAGCTCCTCCTTCATGCCACCTGTCTAATTCTCTCCTCCACGGCGTACTGCTTGTCCTCTGACCAGCTTGTGTGCGAGCGAGCTCGGTACAACTTTCTAAACTAATTTGAAGAAAGCTCTCAGCTTTGTGTTTTGGAGTTGTGTACTGAAGAAGAAAAAGAAAATATCTTTTCTATAGGGCCTCTCAAGATAAAAATCTTCAGAAAAACAAAATATAAAAATATTTTAAAAATTTTTGAAAATTGTTAAAAATATATTTCAAATGAGCAAAAAATTGACAATTGTAAGAAAGAGAGTGAATAGATAAGAGGGAAATCAGTGGATCCTGAGGAAGGTGGAATAGGTGGGGAGAGCAGAATAAAGAGAGAGTGGTGATGAAGGTCATACAAAAGCCAGCTTGAACAAGTGAGTTTTCAGCTGCTTTTTAAAGGAGTCCACTGAGTCCACTGATCTCAGGCTCAGGGGGAGAGAGTTCCAGAGTCTGGGGACCACAGCAGCAAATGATCTGTCAACCTTAAGTTGACATCAGTATTTGCATCCCAGGAACGTTTGATTAACAAATTAAGCACTGGCTGTAGTACCCTGTTTACATATACACTCACTGGACACTTTATTGGGTACACCTTGCTAGTACCACGTTGAACCTTTGCCTCCAGAACTGCCTTAAACCTGCCCATGTAAAACACATTCCACTACATTATATGATACATCACATTAACACAGCTGAAATAAGGTTAGGTTAACAAACAGCAGCTACAGCATGTAGCACTGGCATTACTGCCCCGTAGACTAATGATCCCAGCAAACATTCAGATGCTTGATGACCAATGAAACGACGTCAGTCCAAGACGTCACATCCTGGTTGAACAACAGTTCCAAAATGAAAGTTGAACTGACGATTTTCTGGCAGTGATTTCCACGTCTTTCAGCGCATCTCATTTGGACGTTTATTAATTAAAATTTGGGCATCTTATTACTGTATTAATGTAAAAAAATAAAAATAAAAAAACTTGTGACAACTGAGCCAAAATGTCATATGTGCCAAAACTGGATTTGAACTCAGACCCTCCGCAACAGTCAGGTCTCTTACTACTTGAGCTACCCATTTGTCATTTGAATGTTGATAATACTCCTCAGAACCTGAGGGAGCAGAGTGGAGTAGACTTTGTGCCCCACCCAGTGGGTTTGTGACATGACAACCCCAGAGGTTTCAATGCAGAAATACTCAGAAATGCAATTTTGAGGTTAAATTTCTTTAGATGTATCCTGTAGCATAAAAAATACCTCAAGAATATGTCAAAAACAGAAAAAACACCATTTTCATTAGAGTGAGTCTTTAAAAGATATAGTTGGCACTTTGAAGCACTGAGTATGGCGTTCAGTTTTCTCCTGAATACTTTATGCAGATAACAATACCATTCTTCTATCATTAAAGTGAATTTTAAAAACACCTTTATAGTAAACAATGCAAATGTAAACCTAAAAAAATGCTTTTCAAACATTTTACGAGATTTAAAAAATACATAATGCATTTTATAGAATGTAGGCACAAGAAAACTTCACATAGCTCTCGGTATTAATTGATCGTCATAATAGTAAAGTAATAAATTATAAATCTTTTTGCTCTACCTTCGCCAAGAGGCGCATGCAGGATTCACTTGATGAATCAAGGTCTCTGTAGTCTAGAGCGACTTCCACTTCCCCCAGGAAGGTGTTGCGGCTGAGGCGGCCATGATGCCAGACTGATATCAACACAGAACGGGTGGCCAGTAATGAACGACTGATGGTGTACTGGAGGCAGGACAGAGAATAAGCTTTTATTAAAGGCCTTATGTTAGACACCGTGTGTAGGAGCCATATGTGTCATTTCTTTTTGTGCACTTGAGAGGAGGCTTGGCCTCATGTTATTGGTTAATTGCTTGTGGAAGCACCAGCCTACTTAAGCCAACACAGATTGGACTCAGGTGTGGCTGGATGGGACAAACAGTTTTTTACTGTGTGGCGAGGACTGTGGCTGTGTGTAACGGACTCTGCGGACTGTCATTGGGGCAAGTAACGCATTCACTGAAACCCACTTTAACTGCTGTAAATGGATCATGGACATTTTGGAACAAGACAACATAATAAACATCATCAGAAATAAACTCAAGCTGCATTTCTTAAAGCACACGTAAAGACCACCCGCAACAGCAACCAGGTGGTGCCAGTGTATAGGGCACTGGCGCTACACAGTGATTAATTAATAATTAATAAAAGTAGTGAGGTGGAAGTCTTAAATAACAGATGGATAAAAACAGAACTTAACTGAGAAATCTTCTTAATATTTCTAATGTTTAAGGCTACAATGACCAATCTACAAAACAAATTAGCTTTAAACATTTTATGCCTCCTAACAATGTTTGAACATTGTATAGCTATAAATATATAGTGGATAAACAAAAAAATTTTATAAAGTGGTTCTCTTGCATTAGTCCAAAAACCTCCACCAATGACATATTTCAGACTGAAAGCAACTATTGGACCATACGGTTGTCAGTCTCACTGAACCGTCACACTGCACTGCCCTGGGTCCTCCATTCATTACGCACGCACGTATTTAGTAGCAGAACACCACTGGTGCTCAGTAACAGAAACAGACGGCTGTTACCACTTCAACTTTAGGACAAACTACCAGAGTCCCAAAAAAAATAAAAAATAAAATAAATACACCAAGAGATGCTAGGACTTGGTTTAGTGCTCTCATTTCCTCTGGTAACACAGGTTTCCGGTTCCAGTGGAAGGATGGGAGGGGTGAGTGTTCCATGATGGTGTTTTTTCTCTGCAGATTTGCTTTAAATCGAGGATTTTAAATTGGAGAACAGCAGTTTTGTTGCAGTTCACAGTGTGTGGTTTTATTTGAGTATTTGGGCTGAGTCCTCTGCAGGCAGGACAAAAAAAAAATCAATATTTGACAATAGATGTACTTATCTGCAAAGTCAATATAAATCTTGAGGTCCCTCAAGGTGTGGTCATTTAATTCAACAAATGTAGAGCAAAGAGGAAAAACAGGTGGCGTCGTTCAGACAAAGTAAAACGTCACAGTTCTGTTTAAATCATCACCTTTAATGTTTCATTATAGACAGGGTTGGTGGTTTTTTTCTTGATGCTGGTCTTTCTCTTGCTCTGGCGAGATTTGTCAGGGAGCAGATAACATTTAACATAACTGCAACACACACACAAAAACAGAAAAGCACATCAAACCCTGTTTCTCTTGGTCACAACTACTGATGTTAAACTGCATTTCCTGACTAAATGCTGAAGAGAAAAAAAAAATCTGTTGACATTCAATTTCCTGTGAAGCTCAGCTAATCACGACTGGGAAGTAAGTATCGGGGCTGTGTAAACACAGCAACCTCTAATCTCCACCGATCAAAGCTGTGGCAACATCACTGAGGGGTGTGTGTAAACTGCAAAATATACTTTCTCAGACACCATCAGTCCTGCTGCACGGTTAAAAACGGTCTGAGTAGAACGTCAAACAAAAAGGTTGAGCATAGTGGAGTAGCATATGCGACACTCACGGGTTGGAAAGCTGCCGGGAGGCATCACCGTGGGCCAGATCGTGGCACGCCTTGATGAGCACATAGAGGCTTTGTGTGTGTTCATCGTAGCTGACAGAGAAAACAACATCACCGCTCACCTCCACACTGTCAAAGTCTCCTGATTCACTGTAAATACTCATCAGGCTGCCCAGTGTGCCCTGAATAAACAGACACAAAACAAATCAATAACATCACCCATGTTTGTTCCAAGGGCAAAAAAATAAAAAATAAAAATACATAGACTTTTAGACACTTATTAAATGCTTGCTTGTGTTTTCCCCAACATCCAAACCCAGTGACATACACTATTAGCAGCAGTTTTGTTCTCCTCCCACACTCGTAACTTCTACATTCTTTGCCAGAATTTGTACTTTAATGTCAGACTTCCTTACTTGAGAGGAAATCCTGAGGTTAAAGATGCGTGTTTAGATAACTTAACACGAGTACCATTATAGGACTATCAGAGGCTTTGCAGAACGTAGGAAGTGTTGATACCTTGGAGCTCTGAAGGCTGGAAGAACTCTTAGCCATTGATAATTTATGAAAGCTCACTAAGCGGTCAATATCTTCTTCCTCGTCTTCGTCCTCCTGTGGAACCATAAAAAAAATGAGCAGACTTAAAATAAATACACCCATTTGTTTTTGTAAGATCGGTACTATAAACACCTAGAAAAAACATTTTCTGAAAAAGAAATGAATCTTATCAGCAGTACTAAAGCAGTTTAGTTTTCTCACCTGTACATCCAAGCCTGGTACAGAGCGACTTCGGTGGCCCATGGAAGCTGCTGGTGCCTCACATCCATCACGAAGATCCAGAGTTGATAAACATTCTGTTAAATTATACAATCCAACAATTAATTATAAGGAAAACTAGCAAATATTTCTATAAAAACAGTCACCTGTAGGTTTGGGGGCTCGTTTGATGCTCTTCTTGAAGAGTCTGTCTACTTCAAGCTCAAGGCTCAGATCAGCTGGTTTCACCTGCAGCACAGGCTGCAGAGACAAAAACAAGGAGGTCTGGTCAGAAAAGAACAAAACAATGACTAAATATGAAAGAAAAGAATCTTACGGCACTGCTGTTTGAGTTTCCGCTGTCGGTGTGAACGATATCGGCTTTCATGGGAACAGTCAGGCTGGAAACACTGGATCCTGTTGGGCTGGACGGCACCGAGTTGTGGGCTCTGATAACAAAACCAGGTCAACTAGAGCTTAAAAGTGCAACGTTTCAAATAAAATGCAGTTAGCTTCTAAATCATTGTCCAACCTGAACCTCTTGGAACACTTATGAGTTTTATAATGTATTTTTACAAATAAGGCCTTCACCTTATACATCGTAAAAAACGGTAAATGTCACACTAAACTAAAAACCGTTGTGAGTTTCTCAGTTTCTGGGAATTGGGCTTCTATGAACATGTAGTACCAATTAGGGCTGCAACAAACGATTATTTGGATAATCGATTAATCGGATGGGGTCTCGACACGATTAATCGATTAATCGGATTACATAGGGACATTTTTTAAAACTGCTAGGGAAACATTATTTTTCTCCTTCCTTCACTTTATTAAACACAACATTATTAGAAAACAGTTCAATAGCAGAAAAACAACATGCCATCACCTAAATTGTCTTATAAGGTGTATAGACAGAGACCCTAAGCTACACCTATCTGTGACCTAAAATGCTTGGTCCAAGTTAAACAGCTTAAAGAGCAAGTCAACCCCTACCAGAGTCTAACTCCACTCCCGCTTCATGTTTGAAAAATGCAACACATGCTGTTGCCTGGCAGACCAAGAGGGCGGAGCCGCTAACAAATACACACACACTCAGGCTCACGACAGCATTGTGACATCATAATGTACCAGTTTACATCATAGCATACTTCTTAGCCAATAGCGGTGGCAGATTTAAATTAAAATACAGTGCAGAGTTTTTACCTGACAACGGCACAACACTGCCAGTTTTAGGCAGAATATTTAAATTTTAACTAAGATGCACTGAAGTGCCAAATTATTGACGACACGTGTCTGCAGCACGATTAGACACTCGTTTATTTAGTTTATCAGCAAAAAAAAGTTTATTTGGGGGTGACTTGCTCTTTAAGGGCAATTCTCATCTGTTTTGTTTGATCTAATCTGTAGACATTTATTATAATTGGGGATGTCAAACAACTAATTTTTAAATGTAATTAAACATAGGCTGTGAATTAATCAAAATTAATCACTATTTCCAAAAATGGCTGAAAAATACCAAATAAAACAAAAGTAAATGAATGCCATCCTCCTTGCGATGATGCCCTGGGCAACTGCCATAAAGTCACATCAAGAAATGCTGCTGATCATCCCAATGATCCCAAATAGACTCACATTAGGCCACATGAAAGCAACTGAACCCAAAAATATATTAACCAGTATATAAATGTACTCTCACAACACGCCTGCAGCAACAGTTAGGACTCCTCCCTCCCTTTTAAAAGCGTTTTCGTTTCTGAGGACATTGTGGTTGTAAAGCCACATGTTAGTCTGGCCCCGGTGTGATCAACCAGTTTCTGGGGGAATGTGACGGCGGAACCGGTTCGCAGCGGCGCGAGTACCCCCCCCCCCCCCCCCCCCCCCCCCCCGCCTATCTAATAGCGTCGCGCTTACAATTTTATAGACTTTTTTTAACGAGCTTAGGGCATGTCTAGCCTGTGTAATAATCCGGGGCTTGGGTGAATCACTTTTGAAAAGTTTTTAACTTACCCGGACACCGAGCTCTCTCCTTCCTCGCTGATGATTCTGACATGCTTGCGTTTAAGACGCTGCATCATCACCGTAGTATCCCCGTGCCATGCTAAGTCTGACCTACAAACGTTGCATGTCTTCGCCTGATTTAACTGAAAATGCTCCCAAACTTTAGAAGTTTTTACTTTTTTGGGGTCTCGCTGCTTCTGCCATGTTCCTCTTACAAACAACTGCCGGCTCTCCACCGGTCTGCGCGCAACGGCGGGCAGGAGGGGAGGGGGCTTTTGGAAGAGTTGCGCAACACAACGAATCGATGACGCAATTCGTTGCCAACGCTTTTAGTAATCGATTTTCATCGAATTTATCGATTTGTTGTTGCAGCCCTAGTACCAATGACAGAAAATACAACTTAGATGCTAGTCTAAGTAGATGCTACTTCTGAACTGACCTCGGTTGTTCAGGAGTTGCACGACCAGATTCGGTCTCCGTTTTGCCACTGACGATACTCGCGTTTTCAGCCGATTCCGTGTCACTGTGCGTTGGCTTTGAAGACACGTTGGTCTTTGACTCAAATGACTCTCTTGAAGCAATGGATCCCAAATTCTCTTTTGACTGACTGTCAAAAAAATAATAAAACATGAGCCAAAAGGTCAAGCTCATTCAAATATCATTTCAAAGAACATTTGTGTTCCAAAGACTGAAAAGACCAGTACCTTATGGTAGCCGTCTGAACTTTCTGCCTGGGCAGGGGCACTGGTTTAAAAGGATTTGTGTTATTTTCAACACTCCTCAGGAGTGTTTCTCCAATTGTCTCGCGCTTTTTTGCTATAATATTGTACATAAAGAAAAAAAAACAAAAGATTAAGTAAAAGACACAATCAATAATGTTAAACTAAAACACTGCTGCTGTAGCTATGGGTGGGGAAAGCATTGTTTACAATCCAACAGCTGATATTAACTTCCTGTTCCTGAACTTACCTGGAGGCCGCTTTTTCAGGGAGGCCCTCACTAGGTTGTGCCCAGGAGCTCCAGAGAAACGGTTGATTCGTTGATCATAGAACCAATCGCCTGTCCTTTTCTTTATATCCCTGGAATGTACACAGATCAGTTAAGGAGTGTGATAAATTGATACTCCACATAATCATTACATCACTGATGCAGTAGATTATAATATTGCTTACAATAGAATTATTATTACTAAAGAAAAGTACAAAGCTGTGTCACTAAAGGTCAAAGGATTGTTTATACAAGTCTCATTTACTTTATTAGAATAAACAGCAATGAAACCTAATTGTCATAACATTTATGTCTTTTTACCAGGGATGCACTGATGTAAAAACGTAGACAGATATCCGATATCAAAATCACTGTTATATTAGATAACCAATATTTACTGATTTTTACATTACATTACAAGAAAGCATTTAAGAAAAAAAACGATACATTGAAATACTGCAATATTGTGTTCAGCTACTGAATCGATATATAAAAGCAGTGAATGGATTTTTTTTATTGAGGATTTGCATACAAACATTTATTTTATTTATTTTGCAGTTCAAAGTCTGACCTCTGGGTGGCAGCAGTTTATACCACCTTCAATAAATCTACTTTCTCTAGTATGAATAAAAACCTCATGAGTCACTCAGTGGATAAAAGCTCTGGCACTTCTGTTTCAGAAAGTAGAAACTAACCGGAGGTGTGGGGGGCAGAAAACGACAGATTTGGAGTGTTACTCATTAATATTCATGTAGAAAATCTCTCCTCTGATTGGCTAATAGTGAAGCAACTCTTCTGCTGCCTCCGCTCACTCTTTTTGGATTAAAAAAGTTGATGTTTTTCCCCATTAACAACACATGTAGAGCCATTTATTTTGTGGGTTGGGCTTTCGTCTGTGGTGGTGGTGGTGTCGGGTGCGTCACATGTGATTTAAGTGGGTCCTCAGGTGTTTCGGATGAGCCGATTACGCATGGGTGGTGGGATGAGCATACGGTTTTTACCGCTCGTGAAACCATGGCACAATACATTTCTTTTTTGTGACGATCAACTGGGAGCACTACTATCCTTGGAACAGCATCATGTAAAACGCCAGCTAATGCTTGTAAAAGAAAATAACCAAGACTAACGCACAGACAAAAAGAGGTTTGATTTATGAATAGAAGCGCGTCAGAAGCCGCCTCCGCCCTCACCCAGCTGGCTGACAACAGGAAGTGTCAGCACAACACAAGTCTGAATGAGATCTGCTGTGTTGTGGAGTTGCTAATGCTAATGGTTAGCTTCTACTAGTCGATACTTGTTCTGCTCTCTCCTAGCTGCAAAACTTGACAGCCTTCCACAGCCGCAAGCCAAAGTGAGCAAGTCCATGAACACTAATTTGAGTGTGACGTAGATCTATGCAGCTTTTTCTGACCTGACAATTTCGCACTCAATTTTTATTTTGGTAGCTAATGCAGAAACTGGGGTGGAAGTATTATGGGCTCGACACACAGGAGGCGACATTGCCTCTCCATTCATTTTCAGTGAGACATGCACGACATGGCTCCCTGGAGGGCTAAGCGCAACCAGCCATTCCTCCCCATCCCCGCATATTTTTCTCCTCCTGCTCCCTCACATCATCACACAAACATGCCCACAGGACCTTTGGGGGTGGACAAGTCAGGGAGTGCGGGTATGGACCCTATTTCTGCATTCCTGTGGCAACCTGCCCCCCAATTTTATTTGCACCTTAAACACTTCCACCAACGACATTCCACGCAAACACACACTAAAGCCTGGTTTATGCTTCTCCGTCAGCTGCGCAAGGGACAGACACGCACGGACTGACTGAAGCGTTTTGCTCTTTTACTTCTCCGTCTCCTGGAGTGTGTTGCAAAGCAATTGCCCGGCAGGACAACAGAGGGCATAGCGCTGTTCTGTGGTATCCTGCCATGTATTGGTCTATGATCGTGTGTTTATATTGTGTTTTTTGTGTATATAAGAGACTTTTAACACGGACATATTTGTCTCTCATTCTCCCACCTCTTCATGCGCTCCCCACCTCTAAACCCACGTTTCCTGTCATTTCCGTCCACAAATAAAACGCTTGCTGCGCATCCTTTCCAGTCTCCAGTCACGGGAGAATGAAACGTTCATATTTTTAGAGTTTTTTCGCGAGGTCTTCTTCAAGCTTCTCCGTGTCTGCCGCTAGTTATCCTCGGCTCTCTTTGCAATGGCGGCGCTGTAAACAACAGCGGCGTCCTGACCAATCACAAGCTTGCGTAATCCGTCTCGTTCGACAGATGTTTAAAAAAGTGGGCTCGACTCCGTACGTACTTGCATGCCTGCCGGAGCCCTACGCAAGGACGGATAATGGCGTTGCGTGTCTCCGCACTGACGCAGACGGAGAAGCATAAATCAGGCTTTAAGGCCATGGGAGTGAGCACATTCAATGGCATTTGGCAGGGGGATTTTTCAGCCTCATCCAGAGGGCCGGTGCCCACTTCCAATTTTAAACTGCACTTAGACACTGAGGGCTGTGGGTGCAAGTGGGATGGTGTGGTGGCATCAGCTGGCATAGGCCAGACAACGCCCGCACTGCCCGCTCACCACAGCCATGGAATACACCTCATTAACACACAACACTATATTGGAGCAGGCGGAGGGAGACTAGGGGTCTTAGCACACCTCTTGTTGCTTGGCTTTCTGGGGCTGGAGGCTAGGAGGGAGATCTGGCCGTCTGGTTGGGGTCTGGGGTGGTGGGTTGCTGTGCTCAGCGTTGGGCGGGGGAGCCTGCTCATCAGCACCCCAGCAGAAAGGGTCGAACTCAGGGAACTGATAATGGTTGTACCCCATGTGCAGCAGTACTGGGACCAGAGTGAATAGGGTGTGTATGGGGAGCATGAGTGGGTGTCCGGCGTGCATTTTTGTAAGTCTTTGGTTGTATGTGCATGTGTGAGCATGAGGGAGGGAGTGTGTGACTGTGTTTGTGTATGACTGTATATGTCAGGTGGGGCCTTTGACTCCTCCCTTCTCCTGGGACTTCTTTTGATGATATAGATCTTCGTCTCCCCTCCCCCTGCCACACCTGGTGTGAGGGGCTGTGCCTTGGTCTGCCTGAGTGTTTGTGGCAACCGGGTCAGGGGGTTTAAGATTTTGGCATCTGCCTGATCAATCCCGGTGGCTGTCTGGTGGGGTCTGGGCCCCTGGGCTCTGCTGGGTCCCAGGCGGGGGTGGTCACCCCTGGGTCCCGGGTTGTTGGGTCCCGGGCTCGGCCGGCTAGGGGGTGGGAGGCTGCGGGCGGGCCTGTGGGCTTGCCGCTGATATCTCCTGGGACTCTGCCAGCTGCTGGTTGTGGCCCCCCGGGGCGATCCTCTGTGCCTCTCGAGGGGGGCGGGGGCCTTTCTGATTGCAGTCTCCTTGGGGTTCCTGTGTTCTGGGGCAGCGCCTGGATCTCTGGGACTTGGAGCTCCCTCAGTCTCCTACACATCTTTGGGGGGCAGATCTGTGGTCTCTCACACTCTATTGGATGCTTTTATAGAGAAATCTTAAAACAAGCGCGTGTACACACACAGGTGCTATCATAAGTATGGACTTGGGCACGTTCAACACATGTCTTAAGGCTGTCGTTGCCACTAAATGCATAATGATTTATTATCATAAGAGTGCTTAGTTAAACAATGCTGACTGTATATTTCTTCAAGTTGACGCAGCAATGGCTTTCTCCTGTTGTATTGTTGTGTCCCATTTTTTTCTATTCTTTCTCTTTCTGCAGCTCTAGAAGCAGACTCTTGTTCATTGTTTATTTTTGTGGAACTCCCCCCCCCCCCCCCTCCCCACCTTTTGTCTTTTCCTTTCTCTTTCACCTCTGTCTCCGTGTGTGGTCGGAATAACAAAGCATTCAAAAACAATAACAATAAAGTTTTAAGTATCAGGCATGACATTAAAAGCAGACGCTTTGATGCTCCACCTGAGAGTAAATCTGTAAGGCTTGTCACCAGCACTCAGACATCAATTCTGTTTGCTTCACAGCCAGACAGGACACGGGGGGAAAAAAATTAAGAGAGACATGCACAACAAAGTGGCAATCGTGTCTCCTTCATGTATGCGACATGTGAAAAACATGCATGTGAAATTTTGCACTTGTGCATGTGTCATGCACAGGCAAGCCAGCAATGCGATCTCAGAAAGTTGAGAAAATTAAAACTTTTCATTGCTGCCGCTCAGACAAGGACCAATCAGCAGAGGTTTCATTGATGGAGCGGACAGGATGCTTCTCAGTACATCTACGGGCAAACATGGATGAAAAGTTATATACTTGCCGTGTCAGATTTCCCAGAGCTTTACAACATTTCTACAAAAGATTAGAGATTTTCACAAAAAGGTAGCAGCATGGGAAATTGTCGGTGACAGAATGAATACACCAGGTAAGTTTACTTTGTGGGTGAACCCATTCACGCATTTCTTTTATTTTTATACAGTAAAGTCAGAAGTAAGACTTCACTTAACTCTAGCAAAACCTTGTGAGATTTCATATCTACTGCTTTTTCCAACTCTGAACTGCTTTAATAAACCAACATTCCCTCCAATCTGACCGCTAATCAAAACAACTAAATTTGGCCTAGAACAGAGCGAGTCTCTGGCTTTTGCTGCTGGCCACTGCAACATGTTGCCTTCTGTGTGTCAGGTTATCAAAGCCATAGCAATGAGTTTCGCTGAACGCAGTCGTTTATCGCCTCCTGTGTGTCGAGCCCATTAACGTTTCTCTGAGCCTTTATTATACATCTCTCTGGGGTCACAAATCATCATTTGCATTACTCTAAACAAGCTAATTATTGCAGATGCACACATAAAAATGTTTATCCATGTGGAGGTTTGCTTATTATAATGTTCACATGGTGGACTACATTTGAGCACAAGCCCACCTTCAGGGTGTGTGCAGCTGGTTTGTACATGAGGTTAGTGGATGGGTGGATCCTAGATATTTGCACAGTCTTAGAGGAACACACAACTCTGAATTACAATATTTACTTGACACAAACAACATCTCTGTACTTAGATTTTATGGTTGACTGACACCTAAAACTTGTACATAGGTGCAGTTGCAGGATGCCGACTGATCAAACAACTTCCAAGACAGATTCTCTCAAATCTTCAGAAGTCAATCTGTTTTTAAACACTTACAGCTGTCTTGGTAAAGAACATTTGTTTTACAAAGACAACACTAAAGATCACCAAGATATTACAAATGAAACATCTTACGATTCTTTGGTGCACACACTGCACAGCCAGGATCCATTGGGCAGAAACGTTTGGCAGCTCCGGCACACGTAGTGATTGCACATCTTACACTGGTTGGAGAAAACAGTCAGGCGACTCAGAGGCTCCTGGCATCGGCCACAGCTGTGCTCGCTGTAATTTCCACTGCCAAGTTTGGCTCCTTTCCTCTTTACTTCCTGCAACTCGGTCTTCAACTTCCTGAGATTAAAGAACAAGAAAAAGAAAAAGTCATCAGATACTGACATGCACACAAGCATTGCTGGGTAAAACACATCATATGTGAGAAAATGTGTACAAAGTAAGGCATTTCTTCAATAGTAACGTACTTATTAAAAAACACCACAAAGTTAAATTCCCATTAGTTATCATCCCACGCTGATGAAATTACATCTCTGCATTTGACCCATCCCCATGGGAAGTGGTGAGCTGCAGCTGTGGCCACGCTAAGGAACTATTTGGTGGTTTAACCCCCCAATCAAACCCCTAAAGTGTCAAGCAGGGAGGCATTGGGTCCCATTGTGTCTTTGGTATGACCTGGAAATGACTTTATTCTGACATTACTGCTATTTTCTCTACAAATTGTATGGTGACGCTTTCATCTCCTAATAATCCGTCCTTGTCAGATGATGCATGGGTGCTGTAGCATGTTGCATGATGGGATAGCTAGGTGTAAAAACAAAGGAAGCATGGGTTGCTTTGTGTGTTGTGAGCTTATAAACATGCCGAAAATGGTACACTCGTGTTGTGTAAAGGGCTGCCATGTCAGGTCACAATTATAAGAAGCAAAATCTTGATAACATAAGATGTAGCATCTGTGCCTAAAATTTATTTGATGTTATTTTCAGTTTTACTTTTCATAGTATTTGGTAGGGATGAGCCGGATACTCGTTTCAGACGAGTATCCGGTACGGATAAAGCATTTTTGACGAATACGAGCATGACACGAGTAAACCCCGTAAATATCTGTAATCCTGCTGAAGGAAAATCCTCATTGGGTAACAGACTGTCTTCACGCTCTGTGATTGGCCAGTCACATAGAGCGCCCGCCCCTCCCTACACACAAAACTCTAGCCGGCCGGGAGCGCAGTCCGTCCGGCTCATCCACGCACACACACAGACAGTAATGGATCTCGCTGTGATTCCTTCACTGTTGCTCACGTTTCTTCAGTTTTCCTTAGATTTGCTTCAGCTCGCCTCTTTTTTGGTTGAATATTTAAAGTAACTTTTTTCGTAACTTACATGGTGCATTTGACAAGACAGAGCTGACGTGCTGCGTCTCTACCTCCTCTCCGGTTGGTTTTTTTTATTTATTTTTAACTCCCTCTCTCTCCCTCTCTATCTCTCTCTCTCTCTCTCTCACACACACACACACACACACACCTCAATCAACATTGTTTTGTTTAACTTTGTGTGGGAAAATGCCAAGAACGTTAAGAAAAAAATCAGTTTAATCAAATTAAAATAAAAAAAATATATAAAGTTGTGTCTGGTTCTAGTATTTCATATTTCCTAGTTCCTACTGCATGAGTTCAGATGTATTAATCCATGCACTTAAATATTAATGTTCTGATTTTATTGAAACACTTGTTTTGTAATAGTTCCTTTTCTATTGTGATCAAAAATATTTAATCTATTCTGAGGCTGCTCTGTAAATAGTTTTCAAATAAACAATACACATATCAACTTCTGATCAATCCATATCAATTTCAGACTTAAAATAATATATTGATGTAAACCACGCCCACTTCCGGGTTATGCTCCGCCCATTCCGAGTACAGATACAGATAATTTAGTTGGTTGAACAGATACAGATACAGATAGTGGTGTACTTGCTCATCCCCAGTATTTGGGCACATGCAGCTTTTTTAAGGTGTGTCTTTGTGTGGAAGATGTTTCAACGGTTCAGAGAACAGATCTTTGTCATTAAACTGTGTACCGAACAACACGAATGGAACTTTACAATAAATAATGTTGAAAATGTAAGAAAAGGATCCGATCTTTTTTGTCATTTACAGTCATGGAGTTAATGGTGCAGTGCACCTCTGCTTTGATGTTAATCGGGTTAGTTTCTCTAGAGCTTTGCAACCATCTTCGCAAAAAAGTAAAAGTTAAATGTAGGCAAGCATCGCGTTAATCGGATATTTCCCCATTATGTTTATTGTTTTTTTGATGAAAAATCTCAAGGCTGTTGGTCTTTCTGACAGACAGGAATCACATGTAGGTGAGCGGACATTTTAAACATTAAGCACAGAGAACATCGGAGGTAACAAATTAATCAAGAAAAGATTCCCATCAGAACATCTGAGCATTATCTCATAGACACCATGATCAGCACAGCTCACCATCTGTGCACTGAGGAGCTGTGAAGAGCAGCTCGGAGCACGTCTGTAGGTCACAGGCCAACAGGAAGAACAGAATGTTGCAGGTAAAATGTTCCTAATTTAAGTGAAATTGTTTAATTGTAACATTAATATGTTGCTGGACACACTGGTCAGCTTGTTTGGACCAAATATGAATGAAAATGAAATTGTTTTTTTTAATTTATTATCCGAGAAATGAAAATGACGATCATGACCGTTTTGTAAACTCTGTCGGTCAAAATGACAAAGATGTCTAGTGTGACCTCTGACTGTAATGTTTCTGTACCTGCTTCTAACTTACATTGATATCAACTAGTTTATCCCTGTAAGGGATGTGTTTGTTGTTCTTTTTATCCGTCCTTTTGACTGGTGTGCTGCGGCTTCCCCTAGCAACGCGAGTCATACACCTAAAGTGGCGCTAGGGGTGTGTGGTTGACAAGCATGTCATGTCTGACAAAGACAAATTTGGGTTTTAGAGTAAATTCCTGGTTATATTAAATACTACAACAGCTAATAAGATACAGAGCACTGCTGCTGTAGGATGGCAATATTTAATCCTCAACTGTGACAAACTTAAAACTGAACTTGGATATCTGAGGGAAAACTGAAAGAGACACTATTCCAGGCCTAGAGAGAAAATTATGCAAGATTAAATGTTTAATTTGTCTTTTAATTAACATATTTTGGCTCTTGTGCAAAGTAACAGGAAGCACTCTTCTCACCGCACACGCTGTTCTTCAACCAGCCTGAGCTCCTCGTCTCGTCGCAGCACATCCAGGACCAGCTCACGCTCGGAGTCGGACAGGAAGCCCAGGTTGATCGAATCAAGAGCCTCCGGCATGGTGCCTTCACCCAGAACCGCCAGGGCAGGTGGATTGACTCAACCTTGTTAATGCTGCATTGAGCCTGGGTCCTTAGAGAGAGAGAAATCATCATTAGGACTTGACTAAACATTTCTGCTCTGAGTAGGCAAAAACAATTAGGTTAAACCTGGATAACTCAATGTAGCCGATCAGAGAGGAAAAGCTAAAGGAACAAGACTCACTTCACACTAGATTACATCTTTATTCTGGTGCATGCTTTTGAAATACAAAAATTAACTTCATCTAGGGTAAAAAACATTAGCCTGTGCATCTTGATAAAGCCAGCACACAGATTTCCCATGACATGACAAGTCAAAGGCCATCCAAAATGATAAATGATGAGGATAAATAAAAATCCCACAGGAAGACTCTGCCAGGGTAAAAGGTTGTTTTGAATAAGGAAGGCTAAAACAACATGATCACGGGTATGTAGCATGGAGGGTTCCCACCCTAAGGACACAGCGGGTGGAGTGGAGCATTAAACCACTTGTGTGCTTTAATTAAATGGATATCCTTTTCCTCATTGTTTGAATGCCAGCTAACTCGAGTTTAAATTACAAACAGCTACAGGACAACTTCTACATCCAGGAAATGGCGTTTGAATTAAGTTATTTTGATCTGTTATGAACGTGTTATTTAAAATGCGGGACAGCATTATGCAGGGTTGTTGTAAATGATTAAAAACAAATTTAATATTTAAAATAAATTACTCCTATTTTTAAATACGATCTTTTCGGTTGAAGTTTTCATTAAAAAGAGGTATATTTACCACTGACGGTTTTAACTGTTCACATTTCCAACGGTTAAAAACGTTGACGTACGCAAATCAATTACGTTCAGCTAAGTGGCATAACCACATAAAAAATAATAGTCTGCTTACAACCATAAAGTCACGCTAAAATGGAAAGTAAAAAAAATAAAACACTTTCACTCAACTCTGCCATAATTTGACAAATTTGGAGGATTACACACACCTGCTGCTGGTGGAGACGACCACACTCCCCTAAGCAGAGCGATATGTTCCTGACACAAAAACAAAAAAAAGGATAAACAAGTTCAACTCTAGACAAAAAGACAGGGAACTAAACTATCACGTTGCTACAGGAAACTTTACTTACTCTTGTCGGTCAGGAGCTGAACCGTAACCGAGCTCCGTGTTGGCTCGCTGCCTTTACTGACTCCCGCTGGTCGGACCGAGTTGGACTTCTCTTTTCTTCCCCCCCCCCGCAAGACCGGAAGAAAAGGAAAAGTTCGTAGCAGTCAGCTCCTCTCCTCCTTATTTTCCATGACAGGTGCCTGTTTTGTTTTTGCTCTATTTACCGCTGGATGTGGAAATTTTGGCCCACTAGTACGCTGCAGTAATAATTAGCCAATAGTGCCAGAAACAGCTTTCCCCCTGCTTTCCTCCTCACCTGGAACAGCGAGCGAGGTGCGCTTTTATAAAGTTTCCCCTTTCAGACGAAAACTGGCTTGAAGGTGTTTTTTTTAACAACAAGGAATCTTTTAGACTAAAATGAAACAACTTTCTTTTCATAAAGTATGGAGTACTGAATGCAAAAGTATTTCATTAACACATTTATAGCTTTTAGCGTTTTATAATAAAAATAGACATATATGAATAAAACTTAACTGTCTCAATTTTTATAAATCCTAAATATTTTTAAAGTAAAGAGTAATTATGAAATTTAAATGTATTTTTACGGCCAGGTGTTGATTTCTAAAAACAAAAATGGCTATTTTAAACTGAACATTTAGCAAGATGAAGCAAGATGAGTCTAAAGTTAAGTTTATATTAAGTATACAAAAAAAATGTATAAAACTACTGCCTAGAGGCTCTTTTATGCAATGTCAGGAATGCAGAACTGTCAAGTACACAGGTGGCAGGCTTATGGATGGTTCTAATGGGAAACAGGCTTCAACGAAAGCGGTTGTTTACCACTTGGTCCTAGTGCTCAACAAGTGATATTTAATATAGCGTAATGTTGTTTTTGGACGGTAAAAAGTGCAGGGGACAAAATGTGACTTTAGATAAAGTGTCCCCCGCCCAAACTATGTCCATGCCAACAGGTGTTACACCAAATTCTGCGACCCATCACAATTTGTGACCCCAGGGGTCAGTGTTGCGTTTTATTGCATCTGTACATCCTGACTTGGCATAAAAGAAGATGCTACGTTAAAACCGTAAACTACGTAAGCTTTGAGGAAGTTGTGCGGCGCGGGCCATGGATATTAAAAAGAGCGTTTGTCAATGTTTATTACAAACAAACAGGACAATAAATGCAGCGATAACCAGGGCTTTGACAAGAAATGTTTGCTAACATTAAACATTGATTTTACAACATGCGAGGTCTGCAGGTAAAATGTTCAGAACTTCCATTTATTGAAATTAATTGTTGTGATGCACATCCTCAGTTTATTAGAAACCAGTGCAGATTCAATTCAATTCAAAAATACTTTATTAATCCCAGAGGGAAATTGATTAGATTATCTGGTTGCTACGATTTCCCCCCGTCACTCCAATGCCACTCATATGTACTGGTGGAGATAAAAAGGGAAATAAAATGACACAAACATCACGAAAACCCTTTTGTTGTAATTATCTTTAGTGAAAATTAAAGACATCTGCATTATTACTGAGATTCAGATGGTCACATTCTGTGATAGCCCGGACACGGGTCACCGGGGCCCCCGTCTGGAGCCAGGCCTGGAGTTGGGGCATGTTGGTGAGCGCCTAGAGGTCGGGCTTTTACCCGTGGTGCCCGGCCGAGCACAGCCCAAAGAGGAGACATGGGTCCCCCTTTTCATGAGCTCACCACTAGTGGGAGGGGCCAAAGGGGTTGGGTGCATTGTGTGTCAGGGTAGTAGCCAAAAGCAGGGACCTTGGCGGTCTGATCCTCCAGCGGCAGGGGCGTGTCCAGGGAGTGGCCTGGGGTAGCACATGCCACCCTTAGAATCTGATTGGCCACCCCAGGTGCCACCCTACCAAGTTCCAATTTAAACTGACTTTACATTGTCGACAAAAGGCGTGAGTTGTAAACTCCAAAAATAGTGTGTGGTAGCATGCACCTTTAACATTATCTTCTAGCCCAGTCCTACAGAACATTTATTAATATTATTTATTTTTTATATTCACATAAATAGTATTTAGAGTCCCACTCAACTCCAGTTGGTGGCAATAATGCAACAAGAAGTGACTTGCTAACCACCACAAAACTAGAAGATGAATAGAAAAAATGGTGATTGTGCAATGTGAAACTCCGAAATTCACAATAAATAAACGATTTGTGTAAATAAATAAATAAATAAGCATAACCATTGGTGCCACCCATGCATAAGCAAGTGCCCCACATGGGCCACCCCATTTTAAAAGTCCTGGACACGGCTCTGTCCAGCGGATGTAAAAAAGAACCTTAATAACTACAAATGACATTAATTATTCCTTATTTGGATCAATTTAATATTTCTATTTTCACACTTACAATTCTTGAGATACTTCATGTGTGTATGATTGATGATGGCTCCCAAACTCAGTCTGGGTGAAGCAGATGTGATTTAGTCAGCATGATCTATTTTTATTTTCATTGTTTTTAATGTAATTTAAATTCCTTTTTGACTTCCTTGTTTTCCCTATTACCTGCTACCTTATTTGCTTAAATTAGGTCTATTACCTCCACTTGGGTGAACTGTATAGGCCCACATGTGTAACTGGAGAAACTAGAATATGGTGCAAATGGCCATCTATGTCAGTAATTCAGCTTAGACTGAGAGACCATCTAAAGGATCAGGAACCCATTGCAGGTGTTATGGATCCATTAGCTGATTAGAGTGACACGGATTCTAGAATATTGAACCTTTGCACAATTTTCTAATTGTCTGAGAATTTGAATGTGGGGTTTTCATCAGCTGTAAGCCATAATCATCACACTTATAACAAATCAAGACTTGAAGAAATATTTAGATTTGCATGTAATGAGTCTATCTCATATATTAATTTCACCTTTTAAGATGAATTAATAAAATAAATGAACTTTTACCACATATCCTAACATTTCAAGTCTCACCTGTATTGTCACCGTTGGTATTAAAAAAATCTATGTGATCTAAACATCTTTGCACAACACCTGTCTTCACTCATGATAAAACGAGACAAGGGTTAGCATACCTCTTCTTTCTAATACACACAATACCAAACCAAATGTAAAACAATGTTTCAAAGGAAAAAGTTGGGACTTTTTTTAGTACTACGTGGAGGTAGTTGATTCACTGTGACAATTTCTGGACGGAAAAGCCGAAAGAGAAGAAAAGAAAAAGTTGAGACTTTGTTCTTTGCCAACTAGTTTAACACAATTTCTATCCAAACCCAGTGAGGACATATCATATATTGAAGATTTTTTTTACTTTAAAGGACATGCTCCCCTAAAAGTTTGAATACAATCAACTACATGCTGAAATGCAGAATTTGTCTGTCTGAGGGGAAAAACGAAAATACTTTCACAGATGTGGAAGGACAAAAAAGGCCTAAAGGTGGACAGCCACAAGCTGGAAGAAAAGCTCCATTAATAATTTGCAACGATTTTAACTTAGTGTTTAAAAATGAACCTCGCTCCTCCTGAAGAAATTCCCTTATTTGGGTACAATCTTTGATATGTAGTCAACTAGGTTCAGACCCGCTGAGTGTGGAGGTCAGATCATGAGATTAGCATTATTTCCACTCCTATGAAGCGTTTAGGGCCTCCTCTGTGTGAAGGTCTCTGTGTTTTGTTTTTCCACTCAGATGTCAGAATTAACAAACAATATAAAACAGTCAGACATTTCACACCATCTCAACATCTTACTTTAATTTCTGGAAAAAAGAAAACCAGTATACACATGAATAAAATGACAACCATGAAGCATCCTGCAGTGAGAGTTCTGTGCAGCGACCAGAAGATGATGCAGTCTTGAGTCTAGCCAGCTACAAGAGGAGGTCAGTAAAACAGGAGTTTTAAGTGGAGTTTGTGCTACATCAGCCATCCTGAGAAGAATAAAGGTTTACTAAACCCTGCACAGATGACAAGCTGCTATTGAGTTTGTGTTGGAAACTACTGATCTCTGTAGATTTCTGAAACTGGAGCCGTTTGCAGTTTACACCATATTTACATAAATTTAAGATGGTCTGCACTCCAAGTCCAGCACAATGTGGTGGACATGAGGTGCATATGACTTCACATGCTCTATGTGCTGTATGTTTGTTACCCACGGTGCATCAGTGATATCTTTAAGAAGAGAAGCAACTCGATTTGATGTGTTTTGGGCCCAGGTCTGCCACACCGCCCTGTCAGTTTTCTTTGCAGTCTCTCTCTCAGCAGCATCGTTAGCAGCGGGGTTCTGTAACGGCTGGGTGACGTTCTGGTGAATGTGTAGAGTTCCACCCGTTTTTCTCCTGAGAAGTCGACAAGCAACCGGCCAGCCGTCCTCAGAGCTCGGGATGAGGCCCAGATTCACACGGTCGGCAATATTACACAACTGGAGCTGTGAGAGAGAAACAAAGATGGTGGATTATTATTTTCTGTAACATTAAAAGCTTTTACTTATTTATCAGAGACAGCAAGAGTTAGACAGTAGTACCACTAGAGGAAGTACCTGAGTTTAGCTTGTTGGAAGACAACTTTTATAATAAATACGAATAACATATCAGCCATGAAAAATATTTAACCTGTCGACTGTCTCCTTGATGAATGGTGCAGCGGTCCAACACTCCATTTGCATGAAGGTTTTTCTGTAAAGCTGCAACAGCATCAGGGTTCCACTCACAGGCATGAACATGCCTGGCCTTTGCATGTACCAGATATGGGAGAGTGAAGTATCCAATACCTGATTAAGGACAGCAAATGTGATAAATACTCAGCAGAAAGCTTTATGATTTAGATTCAATTTCATTATGAATGAAACAGAACAGAAACAATCTTCTTTTTGTGTCCACAAATAATGGTTGACACAAAGGTCAAAGGTAACTTTCTTGTTTTACCGTCAGGTGAAGTGATTTATTAAAATTACAGGCCAGGGGCCTCATTTATCAAGCTTGCTTACGCACAAAACGGGGTCGGAAAACTACGTAAGCAACTTTCCATGCAAACTTTGGGATTTATGAAAGAAAACTTAGCGGAAAAATGTGCGCAACTTTAAAGTTGACTAAGGAATCAGAATCAGAAAAACTTTATCCCCGAGGGGCAATTAAAAGAAATAACAGCAGAGCAGCATGGCGTTGGACATAAGAACATTAAATAAATAGGCAATAAGGAAGTAATGAAGCAGCAATAAGATGGATAAAACAGTAAAATATGCAAAAATCACTGAGTAAAGTGACTAAAGTGTTGTCTGTATAAAAGTTAAATATATGGAGAGCCCAAGGAGAGGGTTTTTCGGGGGATGGTCTTATCTTATCTGCTGGAGTTAAAGAGCAGAATGGCTTTAGGGACAAAGGTGGCTCTCCTCCTCTCAGTCTTGCAGGAAATGCAGCGTAGGCGTCGCCCAGAGGGGAGCCATTGAAATGCGGGGTGAAGAATGTGAGAGGGGTTGTGGAGGATTTTGGCTGCCTGTCTCAGGGCTTGTTGATAGAAAACCTGAGCAAGAGTTCTGACAGGCAGGCCCACGATTTTGGAACACACTGATGTAGTGTGCTGCAGTCTGTTCCTGTTCTGGAGGCTAAGGGAGTAGAACCAGCAAGTGATGGAGAAGGTCATGATGCTTTCCAGGAAGGCACAGTAAAAGGTCATCATGACTGAGGAGCTGACTCCAAAGGAGTTGAGCTTCCTAAGGAGACATAGCAGTTGGTTAGCCTGGCAAGCCAGACTATATATGTGAATACATAACTTTGCAAAGCAAGAATTTGGTCTAGTTCACTAGGCTAGCCGTTGGTGGCACTTCCTGAGAATCTCTGGAGGACCTGGACTTGGACCTGGACCTGGACCTAAGGACCTGGCTTTTGCACATTTTGGACATGGAAAGCACCTGCAGTGCTCAAGACTCAAGACAACTTTATTAGTCCCCGAGGGGCAATTCGAGACAGCATTGTGAAGCAGCCGGCACTAAAATCTCTAAATTCTAAAAACACATCCAAATTACACATTTGTAAAACCCATAAAAACCTATATACACATTCATGTCATATCCTCACATGTGAATGACCAACAATGAGTAAAACTTTGGCACACACACACACACACACACACACACACACACACACACACACACACACACACACACACACACACACACACACACACACACACACACACACACACACACACACACACACACACACACACACACACACACACACACACACACACACACACACACACACACACACACACACACTTGTAAAAATATAATACAATGGCTCTACTGAGTGTCCCGTTATTTCTAAAACTCTGATTTTTCTCTGATAGAGTGATTGGAACAGATACTTCTTTGTCACAAAAAACATTCATGAAGTTTGGTTCTTTAATGTCTTTATCATGGGTTAACAGAGAAAAGTGATCACATTTGCTGGGTCACAAATATACATACTATTTGGTTACATGTCCCTTAGCCATTTTCACTTCAATCAGGCGCTTTTGGTAGCCATCCACAAGCCTCTGGCAAGCTTCTGGTTGAATCTTTGACCACTCCTCTTGACAGAATTGGTGAAGTTCAGTTAAATTTGATGGCTTTCTGACATGGACTTGTTTCTTCAGCACTGTCCACATGTTTTCAATGGGGTTTAAGTCAGGACTTTGGGAATGCCATTCTAAAACCCTTATTCTAGCCTGATTTAGCCATTCCTTTACCACTTTTGATGTGTGTTTGGGGTCATTGTCCTGTTGGAACACCCAACTGCGCCCAAGACCCAACCTTCGTGCTGATGATTTTAGGTTATGTTGAAGAATGTGAAGGTAATCCTCCTTCTTCATTATCCCATTTACTCTCTGTTAAGCAGCAGTTCCATTGGCAGCAAAATAGCCCCACAGCATAATATTCCCACCACCATGCTTGACTGTAGACATGGTGTTCTTGGGGTTAAAGGCCTCACCTTTTCTCCTCCAAACATATTGCTGGGCATTGTGGCCAAAAAGCTCGATTTTTGTTTCGTCTGACCACAGAACTTTCCTCCAGAAGGTCTTATCTTTGTCCATGTGATCAGCAGCAAACTTCAGTCGAGCCTTAAGGTGCCGCTTTTGGAGCAAAGGGCTTCCTTCTTGCACGGCAGCCTCTCGGTCCATGGAGATGCAAAACACGTTTGACTGTGGACAATGACACCTGTGTTCCAGCAGCTTCTAATTCTTGGCAGATCTGCTTTTTGGTGATTCTTGGTTCACTCTTTACCCTCCTGACCAATTTTCTCTCAGCAGCAGGTGATAGCTTGCGTTTTCTTCCTGATCTTGGCAGTGATGAAACAGTGCCATGCACCTTATACTTACAAACAATTGTTTGCACTGTTGCTCTTGGGACCTGCAGCTGCTTTGAAATGGCCCCAAGTGACTTTCCTGACTTGTTAAAGTCAATAATTCGCTTTTTCAGATCCATGCTGAGCTCCTTTGACTTTCCCATTGTAGCGTTTGTGGGCGTTTGTATCCAATGAGCCCTATTTACCTGGCCTAAGAGAAGTCACCAGGTGTAGTCACTCATAATCACTCACAAGAAGTCACTCAAAATTGCTAGTTCATGTTGCTGTATGTATATTTGTGACCCAGCAAATGTGATCACTTTTCTCTGTTAACCCATAATAAAGACATTAAAGAACCAAACTTCATGAATGTTTTTTGAGACAAACAAGTATCTGTTCCAATCACTCTATCAGAGAAAAATCAGAGTTTTAGAAATAACGGGACACTCAGTGGAGCCCTTATATTTTTTACAAGTGTATGTAAACCTCTGACCACAACTGTAGTTAGAGCATTTCCTAGGTGCGTGGTGTGGAATCTGTGGGTCGTGCGGAGGGGTGTGGTTGCTGAAATGATGTCATTTGGTCGCGTGGAGCCATGCAGACATCATTGAAACGTCAAGCATAAAGCTTCAGAAAGAGTGAGAAGCTTTATCATCCAGGAGGGGCTCAGAGTAGATCCGCTACTCCTCCACATCAAGAGAAGCCAGATGAGGTGGCTTGGGCATCTAGTTAAGCCGTGCGGACACTGTGCGGCTTTTTCGCTTTTCTGAGCCGATTTTCCCCTCATGCAAGAATCCACAAGATCAGGGCGAGTTTTGCACAGGGGGTTACGAGAGGTGATTAACACCATGTGACCAGCTACTGATCATAAATCATGAGCTCACACAGATTTCTGGCGTGTTTGATATTTTGCTTGACCCTCGTGAGCGCATCGTGGCGCTGCGAGTGGCTGTGACCCAGAAAGTACCAGAACCGCTCACAGCGCATGTGCAAACATGCGTCAACACGGCTATTCCTCTATTAACACACGTCATTTGTTTTTATTTTTTTTACGCACATAATGACTAGGATCGTCAAGAAAGCATTTTTTTCATGCTTATGTCAAATTGAACTGATCACAAAACATTGATTTACTTTCCTTAGTTTTCCTCCTCCAACCTCTACAAATCCCTGTGTCCTCCTCCTACAGCACTCCCGAAGGACAATAGACATTAATAACACAAAACAGTCTGGCGTGTTTTGTAAAAACTGCTATTTTTAGCATATTTACAGGTCCGCTGTGTTGCTCCCAGACGTACAGTATGAGCACATGACTCGTGAGATTTGCTCTGTGGGGAAGTCGTACAGTTTGAGCTGAAGCTGAACGCTACGAGTGAAAAAGTTGCACTGTGTCCGCCCAGCTTTAGAAGGCCTCCTGGATGCCTTCCTGGTGAGATTTTCTGGGCATGTCCAAATGGAAAGAGACCCAAGGGAAGACCCAGGGCACGCTGGAGGGACTATGTTTCTCAGCTGGCCAGGGAGCGCCTTGGGTTTCCCCTGTAGGAGCTGGCCCAAGTGGCTGGGGAGAGGGAAGTCTGGGCCTCTCTGCTTAGACTGCTGCCCCCGCTGCCTGACCCCGGATAAGCGGAAGATGATGGATGGATAGAGTGGCATTTACTGCAGTTAGGTCTGTAATATTGTATGGATGTTTATAAATCTCAATGAGTTTTGTGTATAAAATCATGGCTTCTTAGATTTATAGTTTTTGTTGTCTGAAATGCACAATGATGTTTTAATACCTGCATATAAATCTACCACAGTTTCTCCTCTGCAGTCAAATCGTGCCACCCGGAGCTTCTCTGTTATGTTTCCAGCTGAGAACATGCTCTTTGTTACGTCAAACTCATAGCTGAAAAAACAAAACAAAACACATCTGCTTTTAAAAATCCAAACAAAGAGATAATTACAAAGAATCTCACAAAGACTGACCTGATGCCATTGTCCACATGTTTGACCCAGCTGCTTTCCCCCAACAGCATCATCACCACAGGGGACCTAAATCCATCCTGGGATATCCGGCTCTTTTTTGCCAGGCGTTCAACACCCAGTGCTTTGGCCACAGCCCTCCATAACCGGTCATCTAAAATAGGAGAAAGCACACCGGCTCAATCCTAATATAGGAGGTGCTCTGCGCACAATCCGATTCTGATGTTGAAGGTGCTCTATAGCTGAAGGATATGAAATATAAGACAAGGAAGAGGCTGGAGCGCACTCCATGATGAAGACAATCATGTCAAAATGTTGGTTCGCACCACTGATTAAAACCTCTTAACTGAGAATATGCTCCAGCCTGTTCCTTGTCTTCTACTTAATCCTAATTCAGTCTAGTTAGTGTTAAGGTAGGTGGAGCAGTACCTAATCTCTTCCACAGTGGATGGGTAAAACAGTTGTCCCCCAGCAGGATGAGATCCCCGTGTCTCTGGAAGCTACAAGGGAGGTCTTTCTTCAGCTCCTCTGTCCATCTCTCACCTTGAGACTCCATCAGTTCCTGGAGGATTTCCACAAGTTTGTGTCCACCTGTTTTCCCTTTTTTCGTCTTTGACTGAAGTGGAGACTAAGGGGAGGAAAATGACAAAGCTGAAAACATCCAGCTTTACATTTTAAGTATTTCACTTAGCGGGAATTACCTGAGTCCAAACTAAGTCACAAGCCCCTGCAGTGTTTCTCAGAGACTGAAGATCAATTTGTGACAAACAGGATCCTAAAACGGGCAGGAGGACAGTTCCATCTGCGTTCTTGACTAGACTCAGTCTCTGGTTAAGCAGCCCTCTGGACTGTAGACATTTCCTATAAAATAAACACAGTTTCTCCGCTATTCCAGACAGACACAAAATGTTTTCAGCCTTTAAACAATGTCGAGGGTCTAACGCTAACTGGTAGCTAACTTGGAGTGAACAGAGGTTCACACAGACAATTCATCTTCACCTGAACAGTTGTGCATGACACGGAGACACACGAAGACAAGGCACACCATCCATCTTTAAAAGAAACTTAAAAAATAGTTGATTGGTTTTCTTTAAAAGTGATTATTTTTAATTATTAAAGCTGTCGGAAGCTAACCGTCAAATTCACGTATCGTGTTTCCCCCCGGATCCTTATTGAGGACGGACAAAAACAAAACGGAAACGTCGTTTCTAGAAACAAAATTTATACCTATGTTTTTGTTTGAAAATAAAAACATTGATCTATTTCAGAAAAATATAAACTGCTATTTTGAATTAGTTAATAAATGTCAATCATTTTTAAAGGGCATGCATTTCTCTTAAGTGGAAGTTTTTTACTGCGGTGAGCCGTCGTTCGTTTTTCCGTGGTCAAGTGAGCCGCACCTCCAATTGAAATGCGCATTTACATGGTACTTTACGGTAATACCGTCTCGCTGCTGGAGAAGAGCTGAGATGAGCGACAGAATGGGCTGAAATGCTAAATGTGCCTTTTTGATACACACATACTAAGTACCTCGAGTACTACCTGGTACTAAAGTATGAACTACTTTTACTGTGCACTTTTCAGTTATTGTACTTAAAAGTATGTCCAAAATGCCAAAAGTGCTGAGTTTGAGATAGGATAAAATGAGATTTGTGAAAAAGGACACTAGGCCACCTATACATACCTGCTAAGTACCTTGAGTACTACCTGGTACCAAAGTATGACCTACTTTTACTGTGTACTTTTTCAGTAATTGTCCTTCAAAATACGTACAAAAAGCTAACGTGCCGTGTTTGAGATAGGATAAAATGAGATTTGTGAAAAAGGACACTAGGCCACCTGTACATCCTAACCCTTACCAAAAAGTAGTAAACTTCAAGTTTATTTTACAAAGTATACTAAAGTATAGAAAGTATATGTCCCCAAGCATACTTTTCTCCAAGTACACGGATACAAGTACACCAGTAGTTTACTATCAAGTATACTTCTTCGCACTAAATTGGAACACTTTAAATCCATAAAAGTATACTTAGAAGAACACTAAAGTAAACTTCAAGCTATTTTAGTCTACTTGCAATAAACTTAAAGTAAACTTTGTTTACTTGCGATAAACTGTTTTGTATACTTTTAGTTTACCTGTAATAAACTTTAAGTAAACTTTTAGTTCACTTGTAATATACGCTGAGTAAACTTTTAGTTCACTTGTAATATACGCTGAGTAAACTTTTAGTTCACTTGTAATATACGCTGAGTAAACTTTTAGTTCACTTGTAATATACGCTGAGTAAACTTTTAGTTCACTTGTTAGATACTTTTAGTAAATGTTTAGTTCACTTGTAATATATTTTAAGTAAACTTTTAGTTCACTTGTAATATACTTTATGTAAACTTTTATATCACTTGTGATATACTTTGAGTCAACTTTTAGTTCATTAGTAATAAACTTTAAGTAAACTCTGATTACTTTTAATAAACTTTAAAACTTTTACTTCACTTGTAATATACTTTAAGTAAACTTTTAGTTTACTTGAAAATAAACTTAGGTATCCTTTTAGTTTACTTGCAATGACCTTTAAGTTTACTTATAGTTTTATGAAAGTACACTTTAATGTATACTAAATGCAATCTTCAAGGTATACGAATAATTTACTACCAGTTAACCTAACGTTTACAAAAACTACTGAATATATACTGAATGTAACGTTTGAGGTTTCTCAGTAGTACTACAAATAAACTTCTATTTATATTTATTCTTCACATTTTAATGCTGTAACAGAATGAAATTACTGTTTTCCACCAAAAGTTACCCCCCCCCCCCCCCCAGATGGAGCTCAGACGTGGGTCGCAGAGCAGGGGCCTCTTGGTCAGGCGGCACAACTCTGGCTTCAGATGGTTTTATGAGTTCTGAGTAAATCCTAAGGAGGCAGGGAGCCAAAAACCAGAGTCCAAAATTCCTACTAACAAAACCTAGAGAATACCAACAACACAAGAGACCAAGAGAGATACTAAAACCTAGAGAGGGGGATGAGACGAGGCTGACACAAACAATGAACCAACACTACATTGAGACGCAGACTGGGTTAAATACACTGGGGCAGGATGAGTGGGAGATGAGCTGCAGGTGCATGGGGAAAGAAACCTAGTGAAATCAATTAACTAATCAGGGAGAGGAAAGTGAGCTGAGGAGGGGAAAATAGCATGGCCTAAGAATAAAAACAAAACCTAAAGACAAGAATAGCAAGATAAATAACTAATGATCTAAGGAGGAAGGAGAACTAAAAAACCGGTGGGGAAAGAAACACACTAAAAGAGACTAATTAAATGAAAAGCTGAACCTATAGAAAAACTACAGAGGGGTGACTAAGGGAGACCAACGGGAGCACAGGACCTGGGAGGGATACCTGGGGGGAGAACCTGGAGGGGCTGCAGACAAGGGCACACATGAGGAACACAAGGAGACACATAAGGGGATCCTAGAGGGGGATGGAGAACAGAAGGAGACACATGAGAGAGACGCAGACGCAGACCATGACAATAGCGTCCGTGCAACACAAACTGCACAACACTAAATAGTCCGAAATATTAAAACGAACGCTCACGAACGTTCGGTTATTCGGGCTGGCCAGTTCTACGATAGAATTGGACCACACGCCTGTTCAGCTGACAGGCTCCACTAGCTTAGCACGCTCAGCTGCTAAAGTTTAGCTCTCGATTTCAGCAAAAACGGAGTAGCTACCCGCAGCTGAAAATCGATCGACACAGCGCTCCTGTGTCTTAAAATCCGCTACCCTCAAAGGGATAAAACTTCGCTCCGATCGAGTTGATTTAGCAGTGTTTATAACACTTTCGGTATGAGAAACGGACTTTCGTTAGCCATTTGTGCTAACCGCCAGTTGGAAGCACAGCGCATGCACACACATGCCGCCATCTTGCCTGGACCGCCACGCAATCTTGACTGCCATCTTTCTACGGTCTCCTGAGTGACATCTCTGAGTCATTACTGAACTGTTCTGCCCTGACTGTTCATTCAAAACACTACAACTTTCTCCTGTAACAAAGCTCATTTACATTCAACCAGTAAGCAAGGGTTTCCTTTTCAGCTCCCATTAATTTACAACAAATTAAAGGACCTGTTACATCTATACAATGGCTTCAGAGCAAATTAATCATTTGACTTCTCTCTACAGATGAAAAATGAATTTCAACTGCAGATTTCACGAACGCAGACCCAACTAAATATGCAACTTTCTGAAATGAGAAATATGCAATTTACTGAAAAGAAAGACATGCAGAGGCAGCTTTCCAATCTGCAACAGGAAGTCACAAAAGTCCAAGCTATTGGAGATGCCTCCCACAAGGGAGGGGCTCTAACCCTGTGCTCTGCTGATTTGCCTTCAGATAAGATGGAAACGCTGCAACCAGATGTACTGACTGGCTCTGAACTACAGGAAACACAACATGTCCCATATCGCTCCATCCACATTGATAAGTGAAACCTCCATGGACTGGCCAGGCGCCCCCTGGTGTCGAGCCTGACGAACTACTGTTGGGACCTCTCCTGCCACAGGGGAGGGGTGGTAAGCCCACAGTGTCTGTCATTGCAACAGGGGCATCCCTGCAATGCACTTTTAGACACTGTTTCAGATTTTACAATCATGAGCAAGTCTCTTTTTGACCGCGTCTGCCTGGATGTAGGGGGAGGCGTACACCCTCCAGAACTGATTCCCTGTGCATTAACTATTCGTGTTTTCTCTGATTCTACAGTGCTCTTGTCTTCTAAGACTCTGCTCCAATTCACGATCGGTCCTATGAGCTTGACACACCCCGTGTACATCTCCGAGAGTGGAACCATGCCACTCACCCTTGGCATGGACTTTCTGAGGCGCATTGATGCTGTCATTGATGTGGGAGGAGGGGAACTCTGGTCAGGGGTTGAAGAACCTGTGCCCATCGTTCTGCCTCCTGACCTCCACTGTTTCACGGTTGGTAACTCTGAGCAGGCGGGAACAACATGTTCACCACCTAACCCAGAACCTTTGCCACCACAGATTCAGCTTTCACCAGAGTCACATTCTGATGTTTTCTCTCAGATTAAACAGGTCGTGGACCAAGCAGATGCTCCTATCACTGTATTCGAGCGAGACAAACAACAACAACTTGTGTTAAAATATTCTGATTGCAATAATCTTTCTCTTTCCACCATGTGGACAGGTAAACACCTTTCCAGCTACATTGGTGGCCAGAAACTCGGCTTTGAAGCTTGACTTCTGCCAGAGAACTTCCTTGACGGTCATCTCAACAACTTTACAGACCCTCTTGCCACACAAGGTAAAGATGTGGGCACCTCATGGTCCCTCAAACCCTTGTGGCCCCCTGATGATGTGTCCATCTTTCAACCAACTGATGGGTTTGTGTCTGTTCAACTAGGCTTTTCTATAAATAACCTTGTCAGTCTTCAGTTCCAGGACCCTGCTATAAGCAGGATGATAATGCACCTTTCTGAGCCAAAAGCTCATCTGCATAAACTACCATTGTGTATTAGATGTTTGTGTTTAGTAGTCCATGTGAGTGTGGTCAGCTGCAAACAATGTCCAATTTTTTAAATGTCCAAGGACTTCTTTGCAGAAGCCTGCTTATAGCTTTCGTTGTTGCACTTTTTCCGGATTATTCTTCTGACGTCTTGCACACTTGTGCCAGGGAACTTTGACAGAGCATGGCCTGTTGAAGACATAACAAAGAAAACATTAATATCCACTCAAAGCTACAAAAAAAAAGTAATAATGTAAATATCTAAGTGCCTCTCATTGTGCCACAATGTATAAATTATTTCAGTGATTCAACTCAAGTCATTCAAGAGGAAAATGGAGGAGCAGCTGCAGCAGCAGCAGCAGCAGCAGCAGCAGAATATCAGTGGGGTGTGAAGAACCCTGAAAACCATATCTGGCTTCAAAATGCCCCACTCACAGGCAGAAGAGGACGTGAATTGGGTGAACGACCAAAACCTGCATTTCAATAGGTTTGATCAAGCACCCACTCCCCCCACACTAGCCACACTGAAAAAGTCAAAATCGTTAGACATTTTGACCGACTTGCCAAAATAAAACTGACTTTTTCAAAACCAAACACTTCAGACTGTCTGTTGACAATTTTATCAGAGTATGTATGTATCAGATGTATTCTGATGTTTTATAATAATTCATAATAATGATAATGATCTGGTGGTTTCCTGCCACCACTGCAGTCATGTCTCTGGTGAATGATAATTACATTTTGTGTTTATGTATTTCAGACTTTTTAACATGGACAAATGTGTCCCTCACTGTCCTACACCTCTTCATGCAGACTCCACCTCTAAACACATGTTTCCCCTACTTCTATGAATCAAACGATTGCTCCGTACCGTTGTAAACATTTATATTTTTGGACTTTTTCCGAGAGACATTCTTCAACCTGATACATACAAATTCAGAAGGTGTGAAAATGGTGACAACTAAAGTTTACACCACCACCACCCCTATTCTAGTGCAATACAAGCATTACCAAGTCAGCAGAGTCCACTTGAGGAGATGCGGGTGCAGAAAGTTGCAGTTCTGATCGCTCTGGTGTTAACAGGTGTTTGCACGAGTGTTGATCCGGCTGATGCACTGCTTGAGGTCGATGACAATAGCTCAGTTATGTCTCGCAAGTTCTGCACGACTGCTGGAAGCTCTATTGAGAATGAAGATATAAATAATTATTTTAAAACATTAAAACCCTATGTCTGCTATTTAAGCGAACTCTCAAGCCATACAAAAAACAGTCATTTTTTGTGCAACTTTAAGATAAATAATATCCTAATCTAGTTCTCTTGTCTCTACATGAAAAGACTGATCATATAAACATACCTTTCATTGCTTCTATTAGGTGTTTAAAGTTGTCTTCTTTCAGCCTTTTATTCTCAGCTATTAACTGCTTTATTTGCTTTTGTGCCTTGCTCCAGTTCCTGGATGGCAGCTCGTCATCTGATGACTCCTCATATTCGGTTGGGGACTGCAAGACACAGAAATCAACACC